TCTCTCAACGTGTCTAAGAACACAAGTACACTCAAGAACGAGACTCTCTTGTAGAGTAGATTATGAGTAAACTAAGTACGCTCAAGAACAACTCAACCTTCACACACAAATGGCTCTAGAAAGCTATGGAAAATTATGATATTTGAATGCAATGAGAGTATGGATGTTGTAAAGTGAATTGATGATAAAAGCAGACCCAAACACCCCTTTTTATAGTGCAAAATTAGGCTCCAACGGACCAATACATTAAAGGGGTGATTAGCTTGATTTATGGGATTGAAAAAATTTGGGATCTGCAGAATATTGGCTTCCCATCGATGTTTAGACTCAACCATCGCTGGTAAGCCAATTTTCCTTCAGTTTTGAAGTCAACGGTCGCCTACCCATCGATGGGTACAAGCTTCCCATCGCTGGGTGGGAGGTTGACTTCCAAACAAGGAAAGAATCAACCTTTAATGACCACCAACGGTCATGCCTTCCCATCGATGGTATACCCTTACCATCGCTGGGTTCCCATCGATGGGACAGGTTTCCCATCGCTGGGCAAGGTCGTTCTGCCTTGTGTTAATTTTGCACCAAGGCTTGAACAGCGATGGGTAGAACTTCCCATCGCTGTTTGGCATGGTTCTGGAAATTTGTTTGGCTAAGGGACCGCTTACCCATCGATGGGAAGATCTTCCCATCGCTGGGTGGGTGGTTAGTCAGGAACCCATGGTTTTTGCCTTAACCACGGCCTAGCCAACCGATGCGGAAACCGACCGAAAAAATCAAAGTTCTCCAAAATAAAAACCAAGTGTTTAGAATACTTATTTGATGTATTTGGCTAAGAAATCAAGTAAGACACTTTAAAAACCACGTCATTTGAGTGAAAACCACGGCTAGCCGAGTTTATGCCATTTTGAATGATTTTTGTCAAACGACCAAAAGCGAAAGATGGTTTTCAAGGTGTTTTTGTTGGAGAACCGTTTAAACATGCCAAAGAGTGAAAACCAATCATAAAAAGTTTAAAACCACTTGGTTGGTTCGGACGCCAAAAACCCTAGCCGATAACCGGGAGCCGAACGCCGGTTTCTGAAACCCGAACGCCGGATGGCTTGGTTTTTGGTTTGGGCGAACACCAAGTGTTTTTAATGACTTAAACATGTTTGAAAAAAATTTTTATGATTTAGGAAATGTAAAGAAGGATTTTAGCCTAAAGAGCCAATGCGTGAGGGTTGGGTCGGTCTTGATTACAATTATGACCGACTCAACAAGGCTAAGGACTTCGGTCTTCGTTCTTGGTCTCTTTTGGCTCTCGTTTAACTTTCCATTCTTCGCCTTGTATATTCATTGTTTGACTTGATCACGGCGGTTTGGCATTATCAAAACCTGTTACAAAAACGAACACGGCTTTAGTACGAAAACGTGACAAGCCCGTGTTTCAACAGATAAAAATATCTTATAACAGACATGCATCTCTACAACGAAGCTTAATTTTCAGTGGTTTAAATATTATTTGCAGGTATGTATTGCATTACCAATTAATCACCTTCAAAAAGGTCAGTCACAGTCCAACGCAAAGCTTCTTATAGGCTAATTTAAATTTGCTTAGTTTCATTGCTCTTCTTTATATCACTGCCAGTCAACTACTATATACAGGTTATCTGTACGAAGAAGAATCCAAACTGTAATGCGTGCCCATTGAGAGCAGAGTGCAGACACTTTGCAAGCGCATTTGCTAGGTTTGCTTAAACCTAGCCTTTTAACTTTAAAATAGAATCTTACATTTGTTGCAAAAAAAATAAAGATCTAAATGTGAAAATCAGTGTGAGCTTTAGTAACAGCCTCTCTACTTTCGAGTCGGGGCAAGGTCTGCGTACACACGCCCTCCCCGGACCCTACACTCGTGGGATCCAACTGGATT